GATCCTTGTTCTGGGAGCTCCCTTCAGTTCCCTTGCAGTTTCCTGGTTCCCCTGGGAGCAGAATGGACTGGAAGGCTGGGAGGGCCAGACTCACCTCCAATTCCCCGATCCTGCTCCCTAAGACCCCACCCTGCCCCCCACCATCTCCCACAGCTCCCGGGGTTTCTGGCCCAGACAGACTCCATCTCAGATTTTCCCTTCATGTTCTCCTGTTTCCCTCACTCTCACCCCCTCCCAGAGCAGACAGAGACCTGGATTTACATTCAGGCACCTACCACCTGCTAAGTGGGACCTTGGGTAAATGATTCTCCTCTCTGAGCCTCAGTTTCCTTCTCTGTAAAATGTACCATCAACCTCAAAGGGTGGTTTGAGAAAGAAATGAGATGGCATAAAAAACACCAAGTGGGAGTCAGGGCATGTGTGTTTGATGGGTATGAGGAGGCATCCTCTCCATTCTTCCCACTGCTGGAAGCCCTTTCTCTGCCCTGCGTGGCTTTATTCTCCTCACTTGATTTGACCTCTGAAGCTGAGATGAAGTAGGGGGGCGGGTGCTATTTCCTGCTGGGAAAGTGGGGAGGGAGCAACTGTTCTGGAGGAGAAGAGAGGCTAGATCTGGTGCCAGGAGACCTGGGTTTAGGAACTAGCTCAGTCGCTATACCAATAGATTTATTTACATCTATCTCTTCTCAGGGCCTCAATTTCTCCCTCTGTAAAATGGAAAGATGACCCTGGCTGAGTTTTCTATTGGCCAGGAGAAGACTTTGAGGGAGGGAGCAAGAGGCAGCCCCCAACAACCCACACTTTGAGATTTGATAAGGGGCTGAAAGAGATAAAATACTGGTGGGTTTCTCCCACGCCTACCTCGGGAATATCTGATCTGGCTCCGCCGGCCTTGGTGGAAGTGCAGAGGTGGGCAGAAAGGGAAGGTCCGACTAAAGGATGAACACAGAAGAGAAGCAGAGGGCAGCTCCGGGAGGAGCCTCCAGAAGCCAAGCCCAGGTCCCTGCCACCTGCCTGGCACCTATGGCAGCCCACAGGCACAGCTACTGCCCACACAACCCAGTAATACATGGCCTCATCCACTCTGAGGCACACTTCCACATTGCTTAAAGAGGAACGTGAGGCTGGGCGTGGTGGCTCATGCCTATAATCTCAGCAGTTTGGGAGGCCGAGGCAGGCAGATCATCTGAGGTCGGGAGTTCGAAACCAGCCTGACCAACATGGAGAAACCCCATCTCTACTAAAAATACAAAATTAGGCATGGTGATGCACACCTGTAATCCCAGTGACTCAGGAGGCTGAGGCAAGAGAATCACTTGAACCTGGGAGGCGGAGGTTGCGGCGAGCCGAGATAGAGCCACGGCACTCCAGCCTGGGCAACAAGAGCGAAACTTTGTCTCAACAACAACAACAAAAGGTGGGGGTATGTGATCAACGGCATGTCAGAATTTCATTGATAACAAAAATAACAATGCATTTTTCTATAGATGATATCTTAGAATCAATCAAATAAGTCTAGAACTAACACTGTGTCAGTCTTGACCCGTTATACACAAGAACTACTAGGTAGACAGCCTGCAAATGATGAGCTACTAGATACACGAACCACGACATACCTGACTTACCAAATGTGCAACCGGCATGACTGCCTAGGAGGCACATTCTGGATTCACATCTCACCACGTTATAACCTACCCCGTAAGCAAATCTATCCGCTCATTACGGAAATCGCATAACCTCTTACATACATGAGTCATTTCTACCCTTAGTCAACGCCAAACAATATGTTCTAGATACACATTCCTCATATAAACGATGCACCACCTATAAGGTCTGCTGGCTCTGTGACCTCAGGCAAGCTATTATTTCTTTTGTTCTTGTTGTTTGTTGTTACTGCATAGTTTATTTAAACCAAGCTATGATAATACAGAGAAGACTGAAGTGGCAGCTGCCCAGAACCTTTGTGGATTACAGATGCAAAGTAGCCGGAGATGTGTCCTTGCACCCACAGTTCAGTAACAGACAGACAAGTTAGTTACATTTACATAAGTACAGAGAACTTAATACACATGACATTGCACATCCATCTTTTTGCTTTGTATTTCCATGTTAAACATATGCATGTCACCACTTTATATTTTAAATATGACTCCACGTATTTTGTGACAATGGCTAGGAATGAAATGATCTCATGCTCCTGAAACAGGCAGACTTTTGTCTGCAATGCAGAATGTTTTCATTGGGATATCAAACAATCCTTAACACATAACAGACAAAAAAAATCCTTAAAAATCAGATTAATACAATGTTCTTCATGTTAGATGAGGAGAAAGAATGGGATGTGGAAAAGGAAGAGATTGGGGTGCTTTAAATGTATGGTATCTTGAGATCTTGAAAGTTTCAGCCTGGGCGAGGTAGCTCACGCCTGTAATCCCAGTAGTTTGGGAGGCCAAGGTGGACAGATCACTTGAGGTCAGGAGTTCAAGACCAGCCCGGCCAACGTAGAGACTCCATTTCTACTAAAAATACAAAAATTAGCCAGGCGTGGTGGCATGTGCCTGTAGTCCTAGCTACTTGGGAGGCCGAGGCAGGAGAATTGCTTGAACCCAGGAGGTGGAGGCTGTAGTGAGCTGAGATTGTACCACTGCACTCCAGCCTGGGTGATAGAGCAAGACTTTTTTTTTTTTTTTTTAAAGAATGTTTCATTCAGGGGATGAAGAGATGTTGGTTCATGGATACAAAAATATAGTGAGATAGAAGGAATAAGATCTAGTGCTTATAGCACGGTAGGATAATCAGAGTTAACAATAATTGATTGTTTATTTCAAAATAGCTAGAAGAGAAGATTTGAAATGTCCCCAACGCAAAGAAGAACAGATGTTTGAGGTGATGGATATCCTAAATGCTTTGGTTGATCATGACACATTATATGCATGTCTCAAAACACATGAACTCCACACATATATATATAATTATTACATATCAATTATAAAAAGTTTCATTCCCTTCCTCCAAGGGAATTTTTTAACTAATGGAGAAAAAGAAAGCAGCTTCATAACACCCTCCAATGAGGAAGAACATGATCCTGACAATGCTCAGATGCTTTCATATGATCACATAATAAATACAGCAAGTCACAGAGCAAATGTCACAGTATTGGTTTGGTTTTTATTTCTATGCTTATAAAAAAAATAAGCCTCTTTCTGTGAACTGAATGGATGTGAGCCTGTGGGTCTTGGTTTCTGGTCCTGTATATCAGTGACAGTTTATATTCCAAGCTCAGGGCCAGCGGTCTGTACAAAGCAAGTTATTATTTCAAAGCCTCAGTTACTCTTTCTGTAAAATGGGTCTAACTTGTAGTTCGTTGTAAAGATTAAATGATGGAGTGAATAAGGTTCTTAGCCCGCTCTTCCTCCTGACCTCTCTTTAGGGGAAAAAACCACAGACGTTGAAGTCAGATAGACCTGGGTTAAAATCCAAGCAGTGTCCATGTATCAAACTCTGTGACCTCAACTTCTACCTTTCTCAGCTTTAGTTTCAGCATCAGAAAAACTGGGTTGATACCTTCTTCGTAGGGATGGTTCAAGCATTAAACAACTGAGTGTAGGTGCACAGTACAACAGTAGCAGTTACTGTCATTGATCATTGACTCCATGACACACTGGCCACATAATCAGTCGGAATCAGGACCCCTGCTTAGGACAGCTCCAGGTACCGCTCGCCCAGCCAAGAACAAGCTCTGGCCTCAGCGCCATCGACTTAGCAGCCGTTCTTTACCTCTGCTCACCTGCTCTGTCAGGCCCCAGCTCAAGAGGCAGCAGATCCTGGGAGATAGCAAAGGACCTCGGAGCTCACCGAGAGATCCAACTGAGATGGGAAGGAGGGATTGCCCTGGGCAGCCTGCAGTCGGGGAGGCAGGAGCAGAGAGCTCGTGCCTCTGCTGTGGACAGCGGTAAGGGTGCTGCAGCTATGAACCACATAGTTTCTCTTTTACCTTCTAATAAGGTCTAATATTTACAGAGAAATCTTGTGCTAGCCTTGGTGCCAAAAACCTTCTACTCTTCTCATATTATCTGCCCACTGAGATAGGGGCTATTGTCATCCCCATTTTTTCATTGTTTTTTTGAGATGGAGTTTTGCTCTTGAGCCCAGGCTGGAGTGCAATGACACGTTCTCAGCTCAGTGTAAATTCGGCCTCCCAGGTTCAAGTGATTCTCCTGCCTCAGCCTCCCGAGTAACTAGGATTACAAGCATACGCCACCATGCCTGGCTAATTTTGTATTTTTAGTAGAGACAGGGTTTCTCCATGTTGGTCAGGCTGGTCTCGAACTCCTGACCTCAGGTCATCTGCCCACCTTGGCCTCTCAAAGTGCTGGGATTACAGACGTGAGCCACCACACCCGGCCTGTCATCCCTATTTTAAAAATGACAAAATTGAGGCTCAGAGAGGTGAAGTGACTTGCCCAGAGCCACACAGCTCATAAGGGAGGGGCTGTCATTTGAACCCGAGTCCTGCCTCCAGAGCTTGAGGGCTTTGCCCCTCTATGCCCTACTTGGATCATGACTCCTGAAATCCCAGAAAGGACTTCAGAATTCTAGGGCACTGGGGCTGGTGGCTTCACTGCCTTGGTCTTGCAGGGGAACCCGGGGACCTGAGAAGTAAAACACCTTGTCCCTGGGCACAGGCAAGGCAGGTGCAGGGGCATCCTCCACCCGCCCAGGGCTGCCCGGCACCTTCGCTTCCCCTGGGTGCTCACCACGCCACTATCTCCCGTCTTGTCTTCCCCACCTGCTGCTCCGGGAGCAGTGTAGGGAAAACTGGGACTTATCAAGACAAAGAACAAAAGTCGTGGAGGAAAGAAGCCAAGAGCCATCTCTACTGTGGGGTAGGGCCCTTCAGTTTCGCCCCTTTGAAATTTCAAATTCCAGTTTGTGGACAAAGTCCTAACTATCTCACAATATAGGTCCCCAACCACTGACCAAACTCCAGTCCAGGCAGCCACCTGGCCCGAGGCTGGCCCGGCCTTGCTGCTTCCTTTAGCGGCTTCCAGCTTCCAGGAACAGGGGATCTGGGCCACCTAGGGCCCCTGTCACAGCCACAGCCACCCCACAGGACCCCTGTCTCCCATCTGAGAGGACAGCCGTCTTCCTGGAGCTGGGATCTGGCGCTTGCCGATACCAAGAGCAGATACCAGGTAGGTCCCTGCCCTTTCTCTTCCCTGAGCTCCTAAAATGCTGCTCATACCACCCTCTGCACTTTGGGCGCAGACCACTGTGGCTTAATCAAATCAGGCACCCACAAAACTTCAAGACCGGAAGGGATGTCTTGGCTAACCCACCCATTTTGTGGGCAGAAACACTGAGGCCATCAGGGGAACGGTAGCTGGCCACAGACTGAACCATAGACTGGGGGCCCAGACCTGGGGCCGCTCAGGGAGCCTCAGAGGGTGAAAGGGACTTGCTGAAAGCCACGCAGTGGTGGTGGGGTGAGCGTCATCTTAACAATGAGCCCTTTCTGCTTCATCGAAACCCTCATGAGCCCTGGTAGCACCTCCTACCGACCGTGAGTGGTATTGTGTTTGTTCACCCGATGACGGGTGGCCACTGGGTTGCCACAGGAGTATTTCCAAGAGGAAGATGAGGGAGCTCGGGGCTGAAGGCCAGTGGGTTTGGAAGGAAGCAACATTCATGTGGTTAACTGATAACTGGGCCCCATCCCTGGGCCTCGACTAGCCTCCTTCCTCCCTCCCTCTCCTCAAGCCTGATTAAGACCAACTTACCCAGCTGCTAATCATTGCTGAGCCTGTTGATTTTGCCTTAAAAAATTAACTGGGCATGAGTTTGCGGTTTTGCTCACCCCTAACCCTGAAAAGGCCTGGGTGGGCAGAGGCCTCCAGGGTTATGCAAGAGGCCGCTGGCCTCCCAATGCATATCCCACCGCCACCTCGGCTGCCCTCCAAAGAGGAGGTTTTGCTCAAGAGTCAACAGTCTGCTTGTTCCCCCTGTGCTGGGTCCTGAGCAAATTTGCTCTGTTACCAAAGAGAGATAAAGGCAGCTGGGGGAGAGCTTTCCAAACAGGGATGGGAAGCGGCAGCTTTGAGCTTGGGGTTCTAGAACTCTGCAGTGTCCGAGCCGGGAGAATCTTTGGGATGTGGGCTGGGCTTGTCAAGCCGCGTTCCAAGGCTCCCAGGAGCTATATAGTATGTATCCACAGACCCAGCTTCAACCCGCGACTCCCTTTTATATGCAATCTTCCTTAAGATCTGATCTGAGGGTTGGAAAACCTTCATCCCCTCGTTGCACAGATGGGGAGATGGGGACCAGACGGGGAAGTCACTTGTCCAAGGACAGAAGGTCACCTGGGTTTTCTGGGCTGCAGCAAGCATGTTGGGCTCTCTATGGACCTGAGCGATGCCTTGAAGGACACTGGTGAACAAGATGGCTCTGCAAATGCCTTGCCATGCCGTTCTCCCTTCCTCCCCGGGCTGGCTGGAAGCAGAGAGGTGCCTGAGAGCCGCTGGAAGGCCCACGTCAGGGGAATCCACCTGGCTCTGTGTCCCCTGGGCCCTGTGAGGATGTGAGCAGCCGCCATGTGCTGCAAACCAGAGACTACCATTATAATCCATCTCAGCCACGTCCTGTCTCTGGAGGCATCAGGCCCTGGAGAAAGATGCAGAGCCCTGCCCTGACTCTTTCAACCTCTCCGAGCCTCAGTTTCTTCACCTGTAAATTGGGAATGATACTACTTAAACTCTAGGGTTGTCATGAGAATGCAAATGGGGCAAAATGCACACATTGATCATCATGGCCAGTGACTATGCAGCTGTTTCAGGGGCTTTGCGCCTGTTCCTTCCTTGATCCTCCCAGCCACTCTGGGAGGGAGGCAACGTTTTTACCATCACTTCACACACCAGAGGCACAGAGAGGTTGAGTTATACACCCATGCTCACACAGCTGATGAGAAACAAGAAGTAGCATTGGAACCTGGACAGTCTGGCTCTAGAGTCTGTGCTCCTAGCTCCAGGGCTACCCTGCCCTTCCACGGTTGCCACATGGTAAGTGCCAGTGAGAGGTGGCCAGGAGAAGGGCAGAGAGAAGGGCACTGTGGGAGACGCTGACTGCAAGGCCCTGGAGTGGGGGCAGAGAGTATGGTCTGGAGAATGATCAGGAAGGAAGCCAGGAGGACTTGGGCCTGTGTGGGTGGGGCGTCCCTGTAGGCTGCCTCCTGCCAGGTGGCTTGTGACATCTGGGCCGAGGGTGGTGTTGTCCTCGTGTTTATGTTCCTGAATTTATCTGCAGGGGTGACCTTGGAAATGAGATGTGGCCTTCCCAGACCTCGCGGGGCCGGATGGTTGATGGTAGTAGCCCTCCCTGACCCAGACTCTGGTTTGGGGAGTGAGGGAGGAACCCACATCTCAGAAGCCACCCTCGGTCTCCCCATACTCTTGTTCTGAGAGGCCCCAGCGATTTTCCAGGTCATTAAGGTGAGGTGTTTTGAAGTCCTGAGGCTCGGGCCAGAGTCACTGCCCTGTACAGTTGTGCAGGTTGCTCACTGCACAAAGGTTCTCCAGTCAAGAGGGTAAGTGGGGGTGGAAATCCAGCCCTTGTTCCACTTGCCAAGCCAAGTACCCATGGAGCTCTGCCTGCCCAGAGTGGGATGCCTTTTTCTTATTTGCACAAGGGCTTCATGTGAGCTGCTGGGTGCCCTGCCCCAGCTCTGGTTCCAGCCACTGTGTGTCCTTGGGCAAGGTCATTTCCCTCCCCAGCCTTGGTTTCCCACGGGAGAAGTTCTGTCGAATATAAAGCAGACTCAATCCTGAAGGTGAAACAGAATCATCTGAAACCTTTAAAATATACAGATGTTGACTGAACATGGTGGCTCACAACTGTAATCCTAGCACTTTGGGAGGATGAGATGGGAGGATTGCTTTGAGCCCAGGAGTTTGAGGCCAGCCTGGGCAACATAGTGAGACCCCATGTCTATTTTTTTTGAGACGGAGTTTTGCTTTTATTGCACAGGCTGGAGTGCAATGAAGCAATCTTGACTCACCACAACCTCCGTCTCCCAGGTTCGAGCAATTCCCTTGCCTTAGCCTCCCGAGTAGCTGAGCTGGGATTACAGGCAGGCACCACCACACCCAGCTAATTTTGTATTTCTAGTAGAGATGGAGTTTCTCCATGCTGGTCAGGCTGGTCTTGAACTCCCGACCTCAGGTGATCTGCCCACCTCAGCCTCCCAAAGTGCTAGGATTATAGACATGAGCCACCACACCCAACCCCTGTGTCTATTTTTAAAAAAGATATTTTAAATTAAAGACAGATGCCCAGTCCTATCACAGACCAATGATCAAATCTTAGGATAGGGGTGGGCAGGCACCAGGCATCTGTATTTTTGTGCAGCCAATATCGAGACCCACTGTAGGAGGGTTTGAAATTTGAAGCTGGAAAGTCTTCAATGGCATCCACGTTCTACCACTTACTATAACTTATCACTCAAAACTGCAGCGAGGCTCAGTTTTCTCATCTGTTAAGTGGGAATGATGACAGCTTCCCCACAAAATCCAAATGCCAATTAAATGAGATAATGTTCAGACAGTGCTTGGCACCATGTTCCCCAGGTAGGAAGCTCCCGATTCTTGCTACCAAGACTATGATTATTGTTATCGGCTATGTGACGTTGACAAAATAAAAGGCGTTTCTAGGCCAAGGATTCAGTGACTTGAAGACAGGCCTTCTCTGTTCCTCTGAGTCAGTTTCTAGCAGCTGGGTCTAACTCTTGGCCGCACACCTGTCATATTATTGAGATGTGTGTTACTATTATTATTTAATATCTTAATTTGTTGACATCTTTCCATTTTTTGAATCTTTCCATTTGTTGACATCTTTCCATAGTTTTGAATTGGTACTACATTCACATGGTTCAGAATCAAAACACAAAAGGTATAAATTGAGAAGTGTTGCTTTCAGCCCTGTCTCCTGTTCACCTGTTCTCCCGAACTTCCTCACTATGGGGGACCATATCCTTTACAGATGTGTCGGCCAATATTTCTTTATACAGACCAAGCAGCACGTAAGATCACACATGAGTGGCCTCTGCCTCTTACACAGTTCTGTATCTTGTTTGTTTCATTTAGTATCACAGCTTGGAGATTTTTCCATAGCAGCTGAGAGCAATCTTTGAGGAAGGAAGGGTTATTGTCTCCCATCACAGGTGAGGAAACTGACATCATTATCCCAGCGAGCCAAAGCAGTGGTGTTAGAACTGCCTCTACCTGGCTCCAGAGCTGGTTTTATGCCCATGCACTGATGTGGCCTTCCACAAAACCCAGCCCAGAGAGCTTTGGGCATGCAGGCCCGGCCTTCTCAGGACAAGAGGTGGGGAGGGAGCTGTCAGGGTTCTCACTGTGTCTGGATCCAGAAACCCCAAAGAGAGGATAAAGTGTGGAACAAAGAATGTCCCAAGCCATACAGATAGGGACCTAAGAGAGGGTGTCCCCTGGATGCAACAGTGGGGACCTGGTGGCTGTGCCTGTCAGCACTAGAGAACGGGCCAGGAACTCTCTGCCAGCCTCAGGTCATGCAGGTGGCAAGGGAAGTCAGGAGGAGGATGACAGGCAGGGAGGGAAGCACGGCCGAGGAGACAGGCCCTGGGTGCAGGAGACGGCGGGGACCCCACGCCTGGAGCTCAGGGAGGAGGATTTGAAGGCGGAAGTGGCAATGAGATTTTAACTGCTTTTCTGTTCAGGGAACTTCAGGGTTCCCTCTAGATCCTTGGCCTGCTTCGGTTCACTGACTCACTGACTTTGGTCAAGTCATTTGCCCTCTCCGCGCCTCAGTTTTCCCAGCTGCAAAATGGGAGAGATTAGAGATCTGGTCTTTAGGCGGCCTTGGAGTACCCCTGACTCCACGGGGCTCCGCTCACCTTGTTGAGGGCATCTGGATCCTCCTTCTTGGATCAGAATGTCATTCACTCATCAGGGTCCTGGCCGATCCTGGGTTAGGGGATGAGCTTACAAATCCTCACACTGCTCCTGGTCTGGAATCCTCCCCCTTGATCCTGTGTCTCTCTCCTACCATCCCATCCTTCCAGGCAGATGTGGAGTCAGGACCATACCTGGTGGGTCCCGGGGGAGGCCCTGGCCCCAGTCCGACATCCTCCTCCTGCTGCTATGGGGTCCCGCACAGTGCACAACCT